AAGTTTAATTTATTTCTTCAGGACAGAACAAGTGACTTTTAGAGGCACGTAATTATAACTTTGAATCTTGCTACAAAGTCAGAACAAAAACTAAACACTCATTGGCCTCAACAAGCAGGATGTTATAAAGAAACTTACTAATTAGACATTTGTTTGTTGGGATTGTCCTGTCACAGAATAAGTTACCAGTCAGTAGGTTTTATCAAACTTATATGCTGAAAAATGCAGACTGATAACCATTTATACCGTCGTCTTCAGATATCTGTGGTATGAGGAGGTTAATGGTGGTGTACATTGATTCATGCAAAGAAAAAACATAAAAGATATGAAATTCACGAGCATTTGTAGTTGAAGAGATGCAAAAAAACACATGTTAGAGACCGTGGTCCTGAATCCGGCACTTGATAAATTCACAGTTACTGCAAGATATGACACTATTACGCGATCCTTCTAATTATTTTGGTCCTACTTTGGTATTATAATGCATTCCCTCAGGGAGGTTATTCCCAAATTTATCAGGTATACAACAATTATACTGAATGTCAACAAAGTGTAGTTTATCTGGAATAGCACGTACTTGCATTAAAAGGTCATTTATACCTAATCGCTGACTTTCAGACAGTTTCCATCTTTTGGTTGATGATGATTAGCAGTAGAATCCTGGATGCGCATTTCATCCTGTTAAGGACTGGTCGTCTGGGCGCCCACTGTTCCAAACACTAAACCATCTTCTACTAGGTCATAAGATCCACCTCTTCCGCAACGCGTATTAGTTATTGTTTAAACTAAAAACGGGTTTCCATCTCTGTTAACGTATATGTCATGCAAACTCAGGAGCCATTCCAAAAGGCAGTATTCTCCCGCATAAAAGGGTAGTTCTCATATGACCCCACTATTGAATCCACCTAACAATAGTCACCATTCTCCTACCATATTAATATAATTAAAGTTTTCCCAGTGTTAAATTTCTTTATTAGATCATCAAATGACAAATTGCACTTCAATAAAACTAGTTAAACACCTTGTAAGATTTTGAATTAATAGAAATTTTGTGTACTCTGAGCTGGTTGATTTAATTGTGAAGCTTTCGTCATCCTTCTAGAAAACATCTCCAGCGGAGGTTATAGCATAAAATGAACTGATTTAGATTCTCCATGAATGATGCAACTAGATGTCCTGGAGACCGCTGTGGTGAATAGTTGTTAATTTACGTCTCCAGTGATCCTTTTAATTGACATAGAATTCGGATTTTCTTGTCATGTGATTTACTTTTTATTCGAAAGCGTCCCCTTCGAATCTGAGTCCAAGAACACAAAATGGCTTTAAAAGAAAGTGATATGTATTCTTTCGTATCAATTCTTGTAGATACTTATGGACACCAATTTGGTTTGGATAATGTGGGAATTTTAAACAGAGGAAACAGGGAATTTCTAGAAGCCTGAAGTGAATTAGCACTCAATAAACACATTATTATAGACTAAATTTACCAAATAAAGGAAAGTAAATCACATGACATGAAAGTTCAGATTCCAGGTGAATAAAAATGATCAGTAGAGATGTAAATCAAAAACAAGTCACAACAGTGGTTGCTATGAGATACATTTAAGTCATTCATGAAGAATTCAAATAAGTTCATTCCATAATAAAACCTAAGCTGAAGACGTTGTCTAGAAGGATGACGAAAGCTTCACAATTAAATCAACCACTTCAGAGAACATAACTAATTCAATAGTTAAACACCCATACTAATACGTGTCAAAAGTGAATCACCGTTTATTCTAATCAACAGAATGTGTTTTGAAAGAATCTATGTGAATAAACTATCTTCACATTATTAAGCAAGCACCCGGAAATCTGATTAATTTTTTTCGTAATGTATGTCTGTTGTTTAAAAAGAAACAAGATCCTTGAAAAGAAAATACAAGCGCCAAGTACTAATTTCATAATATACATCAGTATACAACATCAAATAATCTTACACTGCGCCTAACCACATTTGTGTTCATTTTTCAATGCCCAGAAGAAAATGCAACGCAGGTCATTAATAATGTGGTTTCGGGTTCAGAAAAAAAGAGAAAAACCATTTGAAAATTATTATTGTTTACTCTAGAAATGAAATAAATAATGTATTCATTGAAATTAATTTAACATTTCCTATAGTTTATAGTTCTTTATAGTTTATAGTTATTAAAACAGCAAACACTATTTCAACGAAAAGTATATGAATTACTCTATTTCTCATGATAAATTGTGCAAATATATTAAACGCATAAGAGTTAATAATCTATAACACAATTATATTATGTACATATTCTTAAACCTCAATACAGCTAAATGTCACCGTCTCATTCATCGACGTTAAATTAGACTGTGTGCATCCTTACCGCATTATGCTTCTGTATACCAAATGTGACTGTATCCTTATATACAGCAACATTAAGTAAAGCAGACTGTTTCATTGTGAAGTGGCTCTCGTGGCCCAAGTGGTCTAGTGGATAACGCTTTGGCGTTCGAAACTATGGGTACTGGGTTCGACCCTCGGTGGGAACATCATCACCCACTGAGAAATGCAGGTACATCCGGTTGACGAGTCCCAAATGGGACGAAATGCGATGTTATCCTGGATTCCACTGCTAGTCACCATCCACCAATTGTATCCTAACTAAATGCCCAGACGTCGTCGAAGCATTTGCACAAGAAGCCGACATGTCAACCTGAGACCGAGCACTTCGGTCCAATCAATCGAAGGGAAAATCAAAAATTCCAATTCAATATTTAAAATTCTCTTTCCTGTAGAATACAAAAGAATTCTTCGAAACCTACTACTCAGATCAGTTTACAATTTAAAGAAACCTAAAAGCATTAATCAATAAGAAATAAGTTACATAGTCAAAAGTATGATTTTAAATATCTCTACCAGCATAGGCGACAGGCCACCACTCAAGTGGAATCCCGATGAGGAACGATGAGTGGATCATCCTAGGGAGACATGGAGGAGATCGTATGGTGAAGAGGAGATGAGAAAGTTTGGGCAATCGTGGACCCAGATGAAAAGAACTGCGGAGAATAGAAGAAAGTTTAGGTCTGTTGTTGAAGTCCTATGTTCCATTCAGAACCCAAGGCAATAATAAAAATAAATGACAATAAAACCTCATTTCGGTTTTCAATTAGACTCAAAAAATTCGTCTATTCGTATGATGAAAGACTCACAATCAGGTCATTTTCCTCAAAAATGATAACAATACCAAAGAAATTTGTGTTTCTTATGAATCATCATAATTAATAGAGCATTAATCAAACTGTAGAAATCAAAGTTAATGTTTGACTAAGTTAATTTGAACTTATCCGTTGATTAATTTCAAATGGGCAGAAATACTCTGCATCTGAAGTCATGTTTTTTTATTTTTGATTACAACTTGATTCCACACCGTCTTTTTGGTACAGGTATAGAAATTTCCAGTCTGTGATATCGGTGGCCCGAATTCAGCACCTCGACAATTGATATCAGGTGTGCGTCGGCTGAGGATCGAACCGCGGACCATGTGCATGGTCGGCGAGCATCCTAACCGCTGTGCCACTGATACACATAATGACACTATCAGATGGTTAAAATGATGTTATCTGGTTAATGGCAGCTAGTATCGACATCTAGGATGTTCATTTCGTTGTGTTTTAGAATGCGTCAGCATCCCAAGAAACTGACAGTTTTTTTAACTGAGACTCGAACCTAGTATCCATCGTTTTAAATAAAGAAATTCCCTGGAACACAGTGACATGAGAGCCACCTTTTCTCCAACAGGTGTCAGTGGTTGTTTGTTTCAATTAATTTGAATTCTTCGTTGGCAGTTTTACAGTGAACCTAGCTTCTAGGTGTCTTTTGACATATCGACTCATAGTACTGACGCTTCAATGGTTTTTCATGGTTAATATAACGGAACGAAATACTCAATCTTCATATCACTTCTAGACACCATCAAACAACAGTTCATTTTACTGTTTGCCCTATTCTAAGTAATTGTGAAATGATGTATGCATGTAATGGCAAATACTAGAAATTAATTGGGACATAACGAATAATAGAGATCTTGTTTTCGTCCCCACTGATTTGTATGGCGTGCTTGTAACCGTTAAGATACTTTTGTCCTTTCTATGAAACACACATGAATTATGAAAAATATTCATTAAAATAATTAATAACTACTCACGAATACAGTGAATAGGATAAATTTGTGTAAATGACCTTAAACATGTTGCACATAATAATCTCACAACTAATTAGCCTAGTTGTGGCATGCATATACATATTTGACCAAATGAATTTATAAACGGACTAGTAAGTCGGACATTCGTCTCGTACTTCAAAATGACTCTCTCTCTCTCTCTCTCTGTTAATTATTTCTGCTCCAATATAGCTCCAATATATTTGAATAATCCTCGTCTTACGACTAACAGAATAGTTTAAGATTAATAATTAAGCATCCTCTCCATACAGAAAGGCTATGCGTTTTCACATAATCTATTATGTTTTCTAGCCGTGTTGTTTTTTTCTAAAATGAATGATGAGGAAAGACTTAAGTGGTGGTATACTTTAACAGTTGAATTTTTGCAGAAAAATTTTCAAGTGTTTGAAAAGTAGTAAACTGTAGTTTTAAGTACTGGAAAATGCAATGGGTTTTAGTTTTGCAGTAAGGGTTTAAAGTGGAAGAAGTGAAAACTATGCTGTCTTTCATTCACTGAAGAGTAAAATCCTTAAAATAATGAATATTATTAATTTTAAACTTCAATTAAGTTCAGAATGTCCATCATTTTGAGACAGACTTTATACAAACGGTTAGCACATTCTGTCTACAAAGTTTCCATCTAAGAGAAAGTCATGAAATTGAAACCATCTTTGAATAATTTCAAGAATAACCTTTTAAATCATGTAGGTATTTCTCTTGCATAGTTTGCCAAGATTATTTTAACATCTCTTCACGTTTTTTTTATCTTAATTTCTTAAGATATGGTGATATGATACCGTCTACAGTGTTGGGCAAAATTATTGGCAGTGTTTGTTCATTATGCGGTGTCCTAGTTATCGCTTTGCCTGTACCTGTAATTGTATCGAATTTCTCACGTATTTACCAAAGAAAACAGAGAGCGAATAGACAAGCTATGAGACGAGTAAGTAAATATTCATTTGAATATGTGGACAATTTGTAAATTATTTTTTGGCTTAAACCTTTCTAAAAGATTAAAGATAACATTAAAAACCCATTTGTATAGGCTAGAAGGTAATATGACCAGCAGAGTAGAAGGTATACTTACCATCTGAAAAAGAATATTTCCTCGATAAATGCGTCATCGTATACGAAATCAAACAGTCGCCTATATGAAGTGTTATAGACCCTCAGGAAGCTTCTCCATTTCACCCTCTGATGCCAAAATCATCACTTCTCACTTCAGTTTCACTTATGTGGGCCTCTCTAGCATCGCTCAACGATCACCTGAGTGTATGTACAATCTATCTCCTTTCTTTCTTCATAAATGTTGAACGATAGGTTCTCGGTTGATTTGTGGCTATAGTTCTTTATTATTTATCCTTTCCGGCTGGCCATCTGATCTTTATTGTCGACCTAGAGAAAGTGGCTATTGATAGAAGTTTGCAACAAAATGGTGGAAACGCTTCCGGTGACGTGCCCAGCCCCTGAACATCAGTGTTAAGAATTCGGATCTCGTTCCTTCATGCTGAATGCAGCAGATCTCCAAACTTATTTCAGTGTAACAAAACTATCTCTTGCTTCTGTGATTTAATCCTGGCTTTGACATCCTTATCTATTCTGCCAAGGTAAGTGAGAGAAACGGCCACCTTTAAATTATTCCATTGATGGTGACTGGTATTTGTTGTCGGTGGTCTAACATCTTAATCACTTGTATCTTCTCTATGTCCACTTGATGTCCTGTCTTCGCTGCTTCTTCTGACAACTTGTTGGTTTTCACCTATCTTTGACTTTGTGGGACACTCGACATAAATCACTAGCGAAGTCCAAATCCTCCAGCATCTTCTTGTCGGTCCAACGTATGACTGTCTTCACGCTCCCCGTGGTCTGCCATACGATCTAGTCCACCACAACCAGGAGCATCACGGGTGATAATAGGCAATCTTGTTTTACTCCTACCTTCACTTCGAATGCTTTCCTGAGCTTTCTGCTGTGAATCACTTTACATGTGGCATCATCGTATAGCTATTGAATGAGGTTTATAACTGTTTGCACTGGAAAATGATCGACCCGTTGGAGAGATCAGGTATACTTCAATCGACTTTTGTACTTTTGAGACAATAACAGCTTCTCACTCTGATGTTCAGTGTTGGTTTTGCAATGATTTTCTCTCGCTCTTTGAGAAAGAAAACATGACACCATTCATTAGATTTATCATCTCCATCTGACTTTGGTGGGGATTGCTTGCTGTATGGATGAGACCAAATCTCCTAATTCAGTGCACCTTGCAGTAAGTATCCGACCCTTGTTAAGCCATCGCCTTTTGGGAGACTGGGCATATTGCAGTTAGGATTTCTTAATAGTGTCTAATCAAGGATACTTTCTGACTTATCAGTAACGCTATTAGTATCGTCGATGCCCGAGAACTCGGACGGACCTTATCAATCCAGAAGTTTCAGTGCTCTGGTAAGGTTTTCTGTCATATCGCAACAGTCATTGCTTAACCAGTCAGTAAGGGACTTGTAGCAACGCATGTACGTTGAAGGGGTTAGATTTGTGAGTCTATTGTAGAAACACCGACTGCTATTGTCACATTGCATACCATCCTCTACTGAGTGATGACACATTAGCCTTCCATAAATGCTCTCTCTCGTAGTCACATTCTCAAAATATATATCTGTTACTATGAAGAAGATGACATCTATCCATTTAAGAAACAAAAATTAAACTGTCAGAATGTAAACATCAGAATTTTAAACAAAAACTACAAAAACTGGGAGCTCAAACTGTTAAAAAAAAACGCTTTCTACGAGTAAGTAGCTGTTAAATTCACAAAATAAACTAATTTTAGCAAGAATAATTCGCTTTAAATTTTCTCCGTATGCTTTTGTGGTGCAGAACACTACAAAATCTAGATTTAAGACAAGAGCTTGATAGAAAATCACTACCTTCTAAAAAATCACACTAATCAACCTAATGTAATTACTCTTAAATTAACGTCAATTTACTCATCACAAACCCTTAGAATACTCCTTAAAGCATAGTGTCTAACTGAAGTCCAGTGTAAGTTTTTATGCAAGAGGCGAAAACTAAGTTAGTTACAAGTACTTACGCTGTTCACAAAAGAAACAAAGTTGAAGGAGAGAAAAGTATCATCACTGCAAGACTAAGGGGGGAAAGAACCAAATGAAAAGAATCTGAAAAGTATTTAGGGGAGAAATGAAAAGTTACTTCACAGTTTCTTTCAATGTATTACTGAACTTAGAAACCAGTTCCTATCGGTCAGAGTGGAATTCACATACTTTATGATTATGTAAAACTAAACAAGTTAATTCACAATCCATATAAGTACATGTATACCTAAATTACACATTCAGACCAAAGCAAAAAAGCAGTTAAACAAGATAGGAAGTCTTTTTTGTTTATTTCATATTCCAGCATTTTTTAGTCAGCTTTTAATAATAAAGTATTTTTGGATGGGCCAAGACGTCATCCAGTTATAAATTTTAGAAAGAATTAGTTTGCACAGTAACTGCATTTGCCGTATATAAAAATGTTGAATAAGAGCTTTTGATGTTCTTACTTTCTTTTATTTCTCGAAGCATAATGACGCCAAACTTTCCTTACGATTTTATTACTAGTCATTAGTGAGCCATTTAGGAACCAGTTGCTAGACTACTTTCAAGTAAGTCTACATAAGAGCAGATAAAGTGAGATACATGTACAAGCTTTCATGTGTGAAGGCTTGCCGATGAACTACCTTGAAATACTGACAGACTGGACAGTACTATTCTGAAAATTAACAGAAATCAAGACTTTTACGAAATACGAAGATTCTGTACTTCAGAATGATAGCTGTAATATCACATGTAACGTTACGATCAAATGTACTTGTAGTTTCTCTCTCTCTCTCTCTCACATATACACACAGGGTAAATTCCGTCTCACTTGTAAATATTCATTTGAACCTACATGTATCAAGGTGAGTGATGATGCTCCCACTTAAAGTCTAATATAACGCTATTCTCTCTTGATCTCACAAGAGGTGAATCCTATGACTCATTAGCTCAGTGCTATGAGCACTACTGTGTCATCAGTCACTTGGATACAGACACATTCTAGTTCATGAGCCTCTAGTAGGAAAAAATGTACGTTTTGGCTTCTACAGTTAGCCACTGCCTGTCAAGGAACATTAAATAGGATTAGTCAGCTACCACTTTCTCAGTTCCATGATAGTTCAACTTATGTAGGTACTTAATAATTACTCTACTAACTAAACAACTGGCTTTAACTAGATAAGTATTATAAACGGGACTGTTTAAAAGTAATTACTTCTAAAAGGAAAGTGACAGCAGAGGTTTTACGCGAAAAACACACTTCTTTTGTATGCATTATTCTACACTTTTGTGAAATATGTGAAATTTACTAGATAAATAGGCTTAAAACTACTTATATACCTATATACGTTGAAGGTTCAGTTGCAGAATACCCTCCAACCACGAACGTGGTCCAGGACTCGATTCTCGGTGGATAAACTCTGAATATCTCGACTACTTTACACTCCGAAAGTAATTCTGGGAAAGAAGAAGGGTTGGACATGCGGCTAGTAAACCCACTATGTAAGATAAAGAACACCACCCCTAGTGAAACTTCAAGACCCTAAGGCTGAAGCCCTATGTTCCATTCAGAGCTCAATCAACAAAACCAACACTTAAAAATTAATTCGATACTCACTAGTGACTGGCTGTATATATGAGGTTGCTTGGAGCTCTAGTGAAAAGTCGTGAGCAGTAGGGCCCACCAAGTTAGGTAAGAGAACGTTGGTTGTTGGTCGTAATACGTATATCGTGAATTGGTAGAAGTTAGAATCCATGGGCCATTGGATTCCGTCCCAGTGACTGAACGGTATGAGAGGTCATTATGTAACCGGAATTTACTGGGTCCGAACACCATTGTCGCATACTGCCGAGGAGCCTCAAACTAAGACAAAACAGATGCACAGTACTTTCTGGTATTCCAGCTGTTCTTTAACTGATATCAGCTCGTGACCAAACCTGTAACTCGTCAAATTTCTGCAAAAAACTTATACACTGTACTATGCAATCTGCCTCATGAAAAGCGAATAGTTTCTCACCAAAGTAAGTAATTGAGGTAAGACATCTTTAGTGATGATGTCAAACGAAATGGACATCTGAAGTCAATGTCAACAGCGACTATTCATTCACTCTCTCACTTTCTTGTGCTTCACTGAATGATAAAACTATCAAACAACAAAGGTTGGCATTCGACAACAAAGATAACACTTAGTTTGTAATACTTTTAGTTTTACGTAATGTTATTTGGAAGTTATGGTATTAAAGGTGGGTACACATAAACAAAAGCAAAAACTATCCTTAAGGATGCCTATTTATATAGATAATCAGGTATGCTTGACACAAAATTTGTTCAGTTACATGAATAGAAAAATCAGAACTATAGATTCCTATTTTTCTGCTAAAACAAAAATAAGCACTATCGTACGCAAGAAAATTGAACAACACATCTGTCGTATTTCTATTGGATTTCTTTTTCGTAAAACTAATTTGAAAAAAAAATAATTTATATCATCTCATGTGATGAATTCACCAAGTCATTAAATCAAAATTTTGTCGGCTTAAATATAATATATATATATATCCATGAATTTATTGTCAATTTAAAAGACGAGGTTAATTTGATTTCTTTCATAACGTTTGCTTTTAAAGTTCTCTTGGCTAAAAAATGACTGACTGAGCATACATTTCTGACTATTTCAGTAACTACACATTTGATTTTCAACAGTAATTTACGTCGGCCTGCTTAAAACTCGATCTGTCAAAAGCTTCCATCAATATATTGCATACAATTCTTCTTGTTTTTGTTATACACACCTAGTTTTGCCTAATTTTGCCTAAAACTTTAAAATAACTTTTTAAGGGGTTATCG